GAAGGTGCATATTGGAAGGGCTTAGAAAAGGAGTACTCAAGCAGAGGAGCCTGAATTTGATACAGACTTCAGCAGAAGCCGGATGAAGATCCTTCTGAATTTTTAGAGAGGATCTATCAGGCTTAGAGGAAATACACTGATGCTGACCCAGAGGCACCAGAAAATGTGAGAATGATAAACATGGCTTTTATTGGGCAGAGTGCCCCAGGTATCAGAAGCAAACTCCAGCGTGCAGATGGGGTACTGCGAATGAATCCCTCCCAGCTGGTGGACATAGCATTTAAAGTATACAATGCCTGAGAAACTGGGAGGGCAAAACAGGCCACAATGTTTTTAGAAACAGCCCTGGGAGACCAAAAGAGGAGGCAGGACTAGGAGACTCATTAGCTGGACCTGCACCTCGGAGGAGGGTTTGAAATTTCCAGAGAAAGACAGTGAACCCCAATAATGGGTGACAATGTTTCTTTTACTTTATGCAAGTGTTTGTAAAACTAGGGACTTTTAGCTGCCAGGTACTGAGTTTAAGTATAGTCCTTCTTCCCATTGTGGAAAGGAACAGGAGTTAAAAGTGAATTATGGTCAAATCTGAATGGGTAAAGATAGGTATGAAGGTGGTGAAAGTTTTAAACCTGAAGGAAAGGACATCTCAACTAATTTTCTGAGTTTTATGGGAATATGGCCTGAATTTTGCTTCTGATCGGAAATCTTCTGTATCTGAAGACCTAGGAAAGGTCACCTGTAACCAGATGGGGAGAATGCCTTTGCCACCCAGGACCCAGGAAGGGTCATTCAGGGCTGATGAGTATTTCAGCCTGAGGCAAAGGAGCCTGTCTCTGCCAAGAGACCGGGCCTGAAAGGGCATGTGCCTGAAGACCAGTGATGCACTGGTGTAAGAGAATGCCTCTACCTGTATGTTGTTCTTCTGGAACTCTGTGTTTTGAATTTTGCTCTGTACCTGCTCTGAAAAGGAAATGGAGGTTTCTCAGGGAAAGTTAAAACTTCACACTATCTAGGATATTAAGCAAGGGAAAAATATAAGGCATGGAAACAAAATCTTAGTGAATATCCAAAGAACGAGGGTTTTCCTTCACACTTTGTATTTTCCTCCCTACCTGATCCCTCCAGAATTGGGCATTCTGAAGGAGAGAGTGATGATGTAAGGCTCCTTTGCATACAACCAATAAGACCAGTCATTAATGGTGGTTTTATTAAGCCAAGTTTTGACTGGAATGTCACGCCTGAAGGAGGCATGTCTGGGTTCTGGATGTCACCAGAAAGCCCTAGGGAACTGGAATTGACTTGACAAGCCTACGAGAAAAGAAAAGGCCTGGTACCTTGGTCGGTTGTGTGGTTTGTGGCAGTCTTTCCAGGAAGGAATGAAGGTTGCTTTCCTGAAAGATGACTAAAAGGAACCTGCAGGCACAATGGAGGCCTCGAGGACTTGAGTGAAACAACTGGTACAGGCGAAACCAGATGGCAGGTGTGTGGCTCAGCTTCTGTGCCCTGAAGGGCAGACTGAAAGGTCAACCTAAAGCTTCCTGTGTGAGTTCCAGCAAAGCGGACTTAAAGATCCTGGATGATCCATGGCTGCTCTTGGTGTGTTAATGCAAATGAACAGGCAAAATTTAAAAACTGGACTCAATGTAGTCCCTTTAATGAAAATGAAGGTGATCTTAAGGAGAAAAATCATGGTTCAAGGAAAATCACAATGCTCAGTATTGGACATTGGAATGGCGTAGCTAACTGTCTTGAAAATACGTTTTCACTTGGAAGTTGAAACTGGGTTTGTAATATCATCAAAGATGTTTAATTTATAGGCACAAAGGACCTGTCAAATTGCCACTGTTAAATGTCATTTCAGCAAAGGCCTTGCAACTGGATGTTTCCCCCAAAAAGTCTCACAGAGTCTGGCTTGTGGGTTTCTGTGTGAATTAGCATGTGTGTCCTTCCTCGTGTTTTCATAGGGTGTATGCCTATGACCTCATTACCTGAGGGACTGTTTGCAATGTAGATGTGTTGCAAGGAGCCCATTTTCCTCATCGCTCCCTGAGGCCCAACGGTTCGGCTGAACTAAGTGGTTGAGTTGGTGAAGGGTTGGGGCGGTCTGTGGGCTTCACTTTAAAACTGATTTCCCTTTTCTGCCCTAATGGTTTGGACAGAGAGGGCCCAGAAATCTGAAAGGGGGTAAATCCTAAAGTAGTTCCCTCAGTCCGAGTTAAGTATAGTGGGAAAAAGGGTTTGGGGCAGGTGTAGCATGCCTGGCACCCTTTCTTCCAGATAAACTGTTCTTTTCCCTAATGTGGGACACTGAAGAATTGGTCCCTACCTTTGTCATTTAGTTGTTATGGTTTAATTGTGCCTTTTAACCATCTTGCCAAATCTGTCACCTCCAGAATACGACAAGGATGCCAACTGTCCAATGTCAGCCTTTGGACATCAAGCCTGCCACTTCCCGGTAACAGCCAACTGACCTGGACTCTGCAAGGTCCTTCCCCTCACAGGAAGGCCACCCTCCATGCCACCCCTTCCTCTTTCAGAGACCCCGAGACCCAGGAGTGGGTAGGACAGCAGCCATGTCCAGGAGGAAGGAAGCAGCTACAAGAAGATAATGATGATAAGGGCAAGATGACTTAAGAGGAGCAGCCTAGCCAGAGACCCCCTCCCAGGTTAACTGTTAATCATTGCTTATCTGCTTCTGTAGCCCGTTTCACATCCCTTCCCCCGCCTGGGTAGCACATCAATCTCCCACCGGAATGCTAATCCCTTCCCCCACCTGGGAAGCCCATCCGTTTCCCGTCGGAATGCTAGGGCTTATAAACCCCTATCTAACCCCGATTCGCGGCTCAGAATTTGGAGACTGCCTCCTCTGAGCCCGCGCGTGTGAATAAAGGCTTACTCCATTCCCTGAATCGTGTCTTGAGTCTGGCTTTCCGTAACAATGAGACCTTTGCTCATTGTCCTTTATAAGATTATAAAGTGGGGTGTCTGAAAGGGGGGATTTGTAATGGGGCACAGCCAGGACCCCCCCAGGGGGTATTGTGATGGGGTACAGAGATTGGGGTGTCCAAGAAAAATATATTCTCTCCACCCAAGGGCTGGCCGCCTTGGGGGATAGGAGCCTCCAGCAGGGCCATTCAAAGTCATTTTGCACGTCAATAACAGGATAGCTTCATTCCTCCTATGCAGAGGGTTATTTTGCACATCACCAAGGCTGATCAGGAAGGTTTGAAAGACTTAATGCAGAATGTAACTGGGAGAGGAAGGAGGAGAGACAGGGGCCTGTGGGAGAGACAAAGGACAAAGACTCTGGGGAACAATGTGAAGACCACGTGGGAAGAAAGGACTCTTGCTAGTGGGCCATGAGAAGGTGCCACATGGTTATGGATTAAGAACTGGAGATCGTGGAAACGCAGTGGATAGTGCTGAGAACTGCAAGGGAGGCCTGTCTAGCCGAGCCCCGGACTTCTGTTCTGTTTTTTCTGAAGGACGGTACCCCTGACAGGCCTGACTGGCCTAACTGGGCAAAGGTGCGAAGGCAGGACTGTGTGTGTGCACTAGCGGTTATTTTAAAGGGATTGTGAGATTTAAGGGCGACATTTAGCTGTTGATCAAACCTGTATAACTTTTGAATAAATAGTTCCTTTTCTTTTCACCGAACTCTGCCATTCAGAGCCATAATTCTAAGGGCGGTGGGCAAAGGACCTACAACTGAGGGACCTCAGGGAAGGGGGAGGGTCGTTGTTTCGGTAATAGCATCTGGGCACCCCCCTACCCCTCACGGGTCTGTTTGTTTGGTAACAAACTGACTTATTTTCAGGGCTACACAATTAAGTCAATAAAATATGGAGCAATCTACAATTCCTTATCAAGATGCTGCTGCTTCAGGGATTCCTCCCCATCCCTAGTTAAGAAGAATCAGCTAACAGCCTCTCCCAGTTTTGGATCCCATTCCCTTGTCTCCCTTAGCTCAGGCAGGGAGAGCCTTCCATACCCTAAATAGGCAGGAACCATGTCCCTTGTCAGGGAGAAGCAGTTATTGAAGATCAGCTGTCCTCCCTCATTATCGCTAAAAGATTTCAGGAATGGAAGTCTCTGAGCAGAGAATGAGACAAGCTAGTAAACTTGGACAGGTGGAACAGGGAGACAGACAGTTAAATGGCCAAGCAGTTTGCAGCAATCTAGTAAATAGCAAAACCCTAGCTTCCCTAACCAAGGACACTTAAGAGTAAATAGTTTACACTTCTCCCAATTAGAGGGTAAATAGCCTAAATCACCCTCCTCAGGGAGACAGATAACAGAAATACAATTAGTGCCAACCACACCCAAGGATGGAAGTCAGAGGAATAAATCTCATTTTAACACATCAGCGTAAAAGCTGATGTATACTGTATTGAAACCCTCCCCTAAACTTCCAGCCTTTAAAGCCCTCGAGACAAAGGACTCAGTGTGGGCCCTTCCTCTTGGAGCACACCAGTGCCTTTCCACTCCCGCGCTTCTTGCCTTCAGACCCGCTACCTTTGCCTTTCTCGTGAGCTCCGAGGGCCCTTCTGCCTCTGTCGCTTGTTTCCTGAGCCTACACAGCCCAGCTGTTTCACTTCTACTGCCTCTGTAACTTTCTAAATAAACTTTCTCTTGTCATTTGAAAAAAGAAAAGTAAATACCGCATTTCACAGAATAGGATAAATTTATGAAACTGGTAACCTTCAGGTGTTTTATTATATACAAGTATAAATGACATCATGGATACTTTACCTGAATTGCAGATGGTAAAGGCACAACTGGTTACTATTCACAGAAATTAGGATTTTTTAATTAGAGCAACCTGTTTTACTGAGGTCCTTGTTACAGAGACTAAGCAAAACCTCTCTTGGTGATATGGATGGACCCACAGCTCTGATGCTTTATGAAATTCTGATAATAACATCATGAGACAAAGCTTTTAAGAAATCTCTGTATTCTGAAAACTGGCAATATAAGTTCTCATTTTTCAATGTACTTACTCTTTGTAGGTAGTTTACTCTTCCAACAGCACCAATTTTTCTTGTATAATTCATAAAACTGACATTGCCTTCAGTGGCAGCATAGAACTCGTAAATGTGAATGTCCCCAAATCTCTTGATGAATTCTTTCCACACGTCTCCTCGCAAGCCATTTCCTATCGCCATTCTCACTTTGTGATCCCGATCGTTTGGTTTCTGTTGGAGGAGGAGGAGGAGGAGGAGGAGACAAAATGGAAGCATCTCTGGAGACAGTACTTACATATTAATAATTGCCTTTATGTTTCTACATATTTAGGTTGGTTATGAATTCATCTTACTGCACACCTTTTCTGTTAGCCACACACATAACTCCTTTGTCCCCCAATACACACAGTATAGGCCAACGGGTAAGTGATGCCAACATTTAATCCATACCCAATCTGAAGTTGGAACAGTGTATACATTGTTTTGTTGATGGAACTGCTGAATCTCACTGAATAGCCAGAAAGGAAGAGCCACATGGCAAAGATCTGTCAGAGACTAAAACAATCTGAAGCAATGATTTTCTTTTGAGAAGGAAGAAGAAAACCGGGGACACAGTCCAAAGAGAAAGACAGAATCATTTTCCAGAGAGTCATGAAGAGCGATAATAATGTTAGGGCCTGAGGGACTGGAGAGAAGCATCTTGGTCATCTCATTGAACAGAGAACCTAGAGGTCACAAGACTCAGGCGATGAAACTGTCTCTCTGGGGTGGGAAGGGGAAGAGTGGGAGGACACTGGCTCCCACTTGCCTCAGGAGGCCTGGGAGGAGTATACTTTGCTGTAAACAAAAGTCACAAAGGAAAAGCTCTTTTGAGTGTGAGAGCTAAAGCAGAGCTTGTGTCAGCGAGAGAGGTGGGGTTAAGACTCAGTTGCATTCCATTCAACTGTATCATTTATGAGGCCTCTGCACATATGTCTAAATCTATGATCATTTTAACGATCTTTTATTCTAATAAGGCAATCGATGTCCTCAAGGAGATCACAGCCTGGCAGGGAGAAGCAGGTAAATAAGCATAATTTTAACTTGCAAGTTTTGTAACTCTATGATATTTAACAGAAAACCGAATGGAATGGGGTAAAAGTACAAGATAATTAGGACTCCTCAAACAACAAGGTTAAGTTTCGTTGACTCAACAGCTTTTTGCTTAAAGGAACAAATGCTCTAAAGAGTATTATTTCCTACTTTGAGAAACCATGGTGCTGTGATTTAGGAATGAGTCCCTCTTTGAAGAGAACTGTTCAAAGAGAGAGGTTGGCAGTTCTCCCATAAAGGGGAAGGCATTTGATGAGGCAGTTAGAAACCAAAGCAAAACAAACCATGGATTGGTTTCCATGTGGGAGGAGCCAAGGGACCAGGGGAGCAGCACATATGCACTTAATTTTTAAGTAGCTTCTTGGTCAAAACTCAAGTGGCGAAGCTCTTTCAGGAATCCTAACCAGAGAGGTGGACAGATACTAGTCACTGGTAAAAAGTGGGCCTCTTGAGCAATGTTACTGAGGAAAAACAATGTATAGAGAGCAATGCCAGGTACTGTGGATAATAAGGGAAGTATATTTGGCCTCAAAGGCATTTTCAATCTAATGGGAGAGTGTTGAAGAGTTACCTGAAAAGCCTTTTGGACTTGCATGAAGCCTACCTAGGTCCATGGGTCACTGAATCTATTCCCTTTTATAATTACTAAGTACCTATAAGCAGGGAGACCATATGTCTGGTTTGCCATGGCCTGTCTCAAACGGCTTTTGTCTTGATGTGCTTATTACACTCTTTTTACTCTCAGGTGTCTCTGTTTGGATAATGAATTTTATGGTCACCTTTTCTGTCCATAAGTCACTGTTCTTGGTAAGAACTGTCATCTTTTCAGACAGCACCCTCGCCTACTCCCCCTCCCCCGCGCTGTCCCTCACTGACACTCCAGGAATAAAACATTACAAATATCTGAAGAATACTTAATTTTGCTTAAAAGTAACTAACTGATCTGGGGTTTACCTGCTCCCAGGCCTCTGTGAGAAGCTCCAAAGTAACATTCCCATGTGTAAACTCAAGACCTCCTTATTCCGTATCATCCTGTTAGTCCACAATCATCCTGTTAGTTCATTTCCTTGTTTAATGGGTGCTGACCATCTATCTCCCCTGCTAGATAGTAAACACCTTTGAGGCCAAGTATATGTATCTATATTGTAGGGAAAATGGAGTCAGTCAGGCTTCCTCACCCGGATGTCCTGGCAAACAAACTTAGCAGTGTTCATATAACCTTGAGGAGGGGTATGCATAAGCTCTGTTATACAACTAGAAGGTCAATATTGACACCTTGCAAGCTTTGTGTGCACTGAAGGTCAGTAATAGCACCTTGCCAGCTTTATGTGTACATAGTATATAAGGGAGCCAGCACTCGCTGTGGTGTGGCTTGCAGTGCATGTGGACTGCCCCACCCTGGAATGACGGCACATGAGACATCCCAAGGGCTCCATGTATATTTTTCCATCTGCCTGAGTCTCATGTGAACCTGCCTGGCTTCGAATGTTTGCAGGACATATATCATCCACAGTACTTGGGCCTGTGCCTTGTATATAGTGCAATCCCTGCAGCAAAAGAAGAAATAACCTCCACGAGGAAACCCTCGACTTCCCTGTTCAACAGCACAAGGGCAGGGAAGGGGGTGCAGGAGGCTGCAGGTGCCCTGGGTGTGTGGGAAGTGGGCCAGCCTCACAGGTGTAGCTGTCACCTGTGGTTGGCAGGTAGCTGGGTCATAGTCACAATACCATGGGCTCAGTTTTCATCATAAACGGAGGGATCTTATTACATCAGCAGAAGGGATTAAGGCTCTAGGCTGGAAATGTTTGTGGACACAAACTGCTCCCGGAGCCTTCTGAAGTGGCTGGTTCTCAAGCCAGCTTTTGCTCACCCAGGGCTGAGAGTATGGACTGTGACTTGAGTTTCCTTTCCCAGAGGAGAAATGGTGTTTTCACATCACCAAAGCCCCTCCTCAAAAGAACTAACTGTATTTCAGCTTAAGAGTCACCTGGCTCAGTTTTTAAAATAAGGATCAAACCTTTTATACCACATTAGAGGTAAGCTGCGCCATGCAAACACACCTGGGGGGACTTAAGTCCAGGCTGGGATTAAATGACCAACGGAGATTTAATGAAGTCAGGGTATCCAGAAAGGAATATAGGGCACCAGGTAATTAGAGTAAGCAAAAAGCTTTCATTTAGGGTTTTACTATGTGTCAGTACATTTGACCTGTACTGTCTTGTCACCCCAGTAAATTTAATAAAAAATTTTAAAAATGTGAATGGTAATAAAGCATTCACTTTACGTTACAGTTGAGAAAAACAAAGCCTGAGAGGATTAAAATAATTTGCCAAAGTCACACAGGTAGCACCATGTTGCTCCAAGATTCAAATCCAAATCTATGTGACTTCAGAGAGTGCTCTTTTCCTTAATTAAAAAAAAATAATGACACACACATAGTTTAAGAATCGAATAGTACTGAAAGGCTCTTAAACGAAGGAAGCTATTCATCCTTTGCCCCTGCTTACCACCGAGAGGCACTTTTAACTCTTGTAGCTGCCTTATCCTCTTATCTCTAAATTAAATGCTTATACTGCTATCTTTTGATTAGTCAAATTTAGACATTATTTATTGATTTACTATTGTGCTAGATGAGACTTAAGCTGTCTTCCACTTTCCCAATATTGTAATTTTTGGTTAAATCAATACTCAGTGCTCATATCACTTTGCTCATAATATACTATTGATGAGCCAAGTAATATTCTATGATCAAATTCTTGAATAAATTTTTGTTTTTCTTGAAGTTAACGGCCTCCTTGCTCCTTTGCCTGGTTTTCTTAGTTTCTCTTTGTAGGTCTTTTCTCACCATCCAACAGCTGCTAAGTAAAATTTTCCTTATGGTGAAATCAATGAGATGATGTAATTTGCATTACGTTCCTTTCAGCCGCCAGCTCCGGTCTGGACCAGCTGCTCTCCAGGCCTGGGGATCCCCATCGCCGCTCCTTCCTGGACTCTGTGTCTTCACCTCCCTGTTTTCACTCTCTTGTTTTGATGGAGGACTTTCTCTAGTAATTTCCCAAAGGAGGGTCTTTAGGAGGCAAATAATTTTGAGACTTTGAATGTCTGAAACTATTCTTATTGTACACTTGATCAATAATTTGATTGGATAGGCAACCATTTTTACTTCGTATTTTGAAGGCATCGCTCCTTTGTCTTCCGACCTGCAATGTTGTTTGCAAGTGAAATGTTATTCTTACAGAATCTTTTCTTTCTTTTTTTGTGGTAGACTTAAATTTCATCATGGCATAGTTTTTATTGGGTACTCTATTGGCCTTCCCAATCTGTCTCTCTGTCCTTGGGAGTTTTTGGATTATTCCTTTGATAATTTCCTCCTCTACATTTTCTCTATTTTTTTCCTGATTTCCTATTATCAGTTATTGGATGGTTTGGGTTGATATTCTAATTTTCTTACCTTGTCTCCCCTCATGTCCATCACTTGATTTTTTCTCCAACTTTCTGTAAGATTTAACTTTATCTTCCAAACTTTCTCTGAATTAAAAAAATTTTAAATCATATTTTTATTTTTCAGGAGATATTCTTTTCTTTGGTAGCATACTATTTTTGTTTTATGGATATAATATCTTCTTTAATATCTCTGAGGATATTAATTACAGATTTTGGTAAGGTTTTTTGGGGCTGTTTGAATTGATGCTGCTTCTTTTCTTCTTTAAATTATCTTTCCTGTTGGAGGCTTTCCTCAGGTGTCTGCTGATCCTTGATGTCTGTTTATATTTGAAAATAAGGCAACAAAAAGATGTCTGAGTAGCTTTGTGTGGTGGGGAGGGGCTATTATCAGGTGGACTGCACTGCCTGGTGAGGGGTCAGTGAGCCAAAATCCAACTTCTTTTCTGGGAAAGTTAAGTTCTTCCTAAGAATTACCCTCCTCCATCTCTTGCCTATAAGCATAAACTGGCTACTGGAGGTCTAAAAACTGTATAAGGAACTGGGGTTCCCCTGGTCAGTAAGTAAATACTGACTCAATCTCTGTTTTCAGTGCCTCACCTCTTTCCTGCTTTACTCTTGGGGTCCTTGAGTTCAAAGCTTTTCTAGGTCTTTGTCGGAGAATGAACCTCCTATGTCCTCTAAGAGTGGGAGAGAAT